CCTCCATTCCAGCTTTGGAAGTGCACTTGGTGAGCGTCTTCCAAAACCAGCCCCTGAGAAGGCTCCCCTATTGTCCCACCGTTCACCCTCACAGACCCCAGCACTTTCTTCCTGATAGCAGCATCCATTAGTCATCCAGTATGCACGAGGTTCTGCCCTAGACTCTATGCACAGGGTGACATTACAGCCTTCCAACCAGATGGACATGGCATTACTAACTCCACTGCAGAGGTAGAGAAATGGAGGCACAGAGAGGCACATGGCTCACCCAGGGTCCCACAACCACTGAGTGGAGGCCTTGGGACTAGAACTTCACACAACAGTGCAAAGCAAACCTCTAGCTCCTGGTCCTGCAGCTGGAGGCCTGAGAGTGGCTGTCTACATGGGATTGTAACTGTGAGCCAGACCAGGATGGGCACCCCAGCAACTGACCCCAAGCTGCACCCCCCCACCTCCCACCCCTCTGCAGCCAGATGTAGCTGTGATCCAGGGGCTGCAACTCAGCTATCTCAGACCTTAGCAATGACTGTCCTAGTTTCTTCCTGAAGAAAGGAGCCCTTTTCATATTCAAACTCTGCAGCCTATGGGCTGAGGGAAGCACTGCAGTGGCCTAGGGGATATACAGTTGGCTGGTATCAGGAGGGGGCACATTTTGAGATAATCCAGCCCCATCTTGCCGAGGCCCAGAGAGAGGCAGTGATTTATGAAAGGTCACACAGAGAGGAACCAGAATCCAGCTTCCTTTCTCCCTCTCCAGCCTCCTCCTTGCTGTCTCTCTATCCACCAGAGGCTGAGGAGCCAGAACAAAGCCTGCAGAGTGGGGCGGGGGGAAATAGATCACAAGACTCTGAAAACAACACCCTGACTTCCAGGTGCCCCACCCATCCTGTACAAAGTGGATAGCCACATAGGTAATCCAGTCTCTCCTCCTGCTTTGTCCAAATAGGGAAAAGGGAAACTGAGGCCCAGAGATGCCAAGAGATTTCCCAGGTCACATAGCAGGTTTATGGCAGAACTGAGACCAGAATTTACATTCCCCAGGCCCCTAATTGTGTCCTCCTGGGGTGACAGTGTTGCAGCTTTGCAGCCTTCACAGTATTTTGTAAACTGCAGCAACCAACCCACTCCCACAGCTTTGCAATTAATAACCCATAATTTGTGACTAGGCCAGCTCTCTAGCCTGCCATCTAGTGGCAAAATGGAAAGCTACAGGCTACTGTTGAAAAGAGTCCATCCTGGGACTGAATAGCTCTGGAGAGAAATGGGAGGACTTGGAGTGTTTCTGGGAAATTTATAGTAAAACAAACAAATGAACAACAACAAGAAAAAAAAAAGCCCTTCTAAGAAGCACTTCTGAGAGGCCTGCCCCCAGTCATGTACTCCATGCCCCGGTGGCTCTGAGCAGAGGACTTGCCACCTGAGGACAACACAGTCTCTCCTATGAGATGAGTGGTTGGAGTAATGGACCCAAAGGCCCCATGCACTTGAGTTAAATTATTTATAGATATGAATTCATCTTAAGTCCCTTCTAGATGGGATGCTGGGTGGGTTCCAATCTAGGGAAAGAGACACCTTGATCATATTTTGGATCATGGGGGCTAGGGCTCCCAGAACTCCCTCAATTCTGGGCTCTGAGAGACTTTTGAGACGGTCAGCTGAGAGATGGCATCAGGAAACAGGCTACACACACACACACACAGAGCCTGCACGCGCCACATGGGGCCTCCCAGCAGTGGCCATTAGCAGAAAGGAGGCCCCTGAGGAAAGACTCTGAACACCTCTCTGGGCGTTCTGGGCCACCGAGCTTCTGTAATTGGAGCCGCCAGGAACACAGAGAACGCTGGGCACACGGTCAATCCCTGCCCTTCTCCAGGGAACCGAGGCAAGGTGGCCCTGGGGATTAGGAGTGACCTCTACAGCCAGAAGCAGCTTAATGAGCACCTCACTCAGTGGGAGAGGGAGTAAGGACTGAGGAAGGAGAGGCACAGGCGGGTACACAACCTCAAGGAGCACTCACCGCCAGAGGCCACACCCCCCCACGTGTGCACTTGCACCCTCACGTGTGCACACACACCTCTGGGAGGTGACCTGGGCGTTTGCTCACAGCAGCTGCTACCTTCCTGCCTTCCCCCAGGACAGAAATGGAGAGTGCTGAGGCTGGGGGCCCAGGAGAGATGTGCTTCCTGCTCTGAACCCTCACTGCTGAGGTCCCCACTACCCACCCAGCTGCCCAAGTGAGACACTCAACAACTTTCAGGGCCCAGCCTAGGCCTGGGAACACCTCCTCCATCCATTAGAGAATGAATGTGGCCCCCCTGCACCACTCTCACTCTGCACGCAACCCTCTTTTGCTCACCTTTTCCTTGGCCCTTGCCACCCTTGAGCACAGAAAGTGGTCTGCACATGGCCCTGGCTCCTACAGCCTCATGCCCCACCCCTTGGACCCACCCCTGCCCACCAGCAACACACTCCTGCAGCTCCCCAGGCCTTTGCCCCAGCTGCCCCTCCCCCACTGCACCCAGCCCACAACCTACCCAATCCCATGTTCCCCTGGGGCCCAGCGCAGACTGAGCATTCTGGGGAGGCCCTCCAGCATCCAGACCCACTCTCCCCACTTCCCGTGCCCATGTCTCATGCCTGGTGCCTCTGTGGGAGCATTCAAGCTCTGAGGTCCTGGCACAGAACAGGCTCTCAACAGACTGCTGAGCATATCCACTAAACACATATTTCCAGAGCAGCTTCTATTCACCAGGCCCAGCTCTGGGTGCTGAGTGAAGGGTCTCCACATTTTGGCCCATTTCCCAGTGAAGTTGTGCTGGTTAGAAAACTAGACTCCAATTTGGTCCCTGCCACTAAGCTGCTGTATGGCCCTGAGCTGTATGAGCTGATCATGACCCTCTCTGGGACTCAGTTTCCTCATTTGTTAAGTGTAGTAAAGACTTTGTGTGTTGAGACAGAGTCTCACTATGTCGCCCTGGTAGATTGCCCTATTGTCACAGCTCACAGCAACCTCAAACTCTTGGGCTTAAGCGATTCTCTTGCCTCAGCCTCCCAAGTAGCTAGGACTACAGGCACCCACCACAACACCCAGCTATTTTGTTATTGTTGTTGTAGTTGTCATTGTTGTTTAGCAGGCCCTGGCCGGGTTTGAACCCACCAGCCCCAGTGTATATGGCAGGCACAATAACCACTGAGCTACAGGCGCCAAGCCCTAATGATGGTTTTGAACTAAGTGATCTTCAAAATCCTTCTAGGATGGGTGGGCATGAGATAGGTGAAAGAAGCTGGCCCCAGGAAGGTCTCTCTGAATGTCCCTCCCTGCCCCCAAAGGAGTCTCCCCCAGGCAGTGGGAAAGGGCAAAGGTGGAAGGGCAAACTGATCGCCTCCCCTCTCCCACAGCTTTGGTCCTTACCACCCATTCACCCCACTTGCCTCTCAACCCTGTCCCCAGGACCTGTACAGCCACTCAGGACCCCAACTTCCCAGGGCCTCCTCTGTGCCCTCCCCAAGCTAAGCTAACCTGCTCCTCTCAGAAAACAGCAGGCACCAGGCCACCCTCCAGGCTCAGCCAGCTCTGGTCACCCTCCTGGTCAACTTGCTCCACAAATATCCTGGAGTGTGGCCTTCACTTCCCCATCAGGCCTGTCCAGGCTGACCGATACGCAAGCCCCTACAGGGCACTCATGGTGAATGGACCACAGAGAGATTGGTTGAATGGGGCAGGTGACAGCCCCAAGGCCCCAAGGCCCCAAGGCCCCAGGGCTGGGAATTAAGGGAGTGGGGAGAGTGCTGACTATGGAGGAGGGTCAGGTGCCAGGAGACCTTCCCTCTTCTGCTGATGCAAGGGAGAGACACAGGGTTCAAGAGACAGCTACAGAAAAAGCTGGGCTTTAGACAGACAGAACTCTGTTCAGATCCTTGCCCTGCCACTGAATTGCTGTGTAAGCCACTTAATCGCTCTGAGTCTCACTCAAGTTGCTCAGCCATCAGAAGTCAAGTGCTTGGACCACAGGAGGTGGGTAGGAGCTTATAAATGCCCTATGGAGGGAGGCAGGGCACTATTCCATCTCCTTCCCTCAACTCCCACCCATTCCTAACACAGGGCAGTGGAGTAGTCAAAAGATATAACTGGCTCTGGCCTTTGCATTTGTAATGTGTTCTGTCCAAGTCTTAGTTTTTTCATCTGCAAAAGGGGAATAGCCCACCTCCCTTACAGAATGAGTATAAGGCTCAAAACAGATAAAAGAAATGAAAATTGTACAAGGCTGGGAAGATGTCAGGGCTTGTGGCTACAAGATAAGTTTTCTCTATACCAAGTGAGTGGATGGAAACATGGATGGATGGATGGGAGGATGAATGGATGGATAGATGGAAGGAAGGAAGGAAGGAAGGAAAGACAGCGTAGAGGGAGGGAGGGAGGATGGGAAGATATGTAGATGAATGGGAGGATTGATGGATGGATGGGTGAATGAGAAGATGGATGGAAGGAGGGGCAGGTAGATAGATGGGTGAACAGCCAGATCAGTGAATAGGTAGATGGAACTATGGGTAGCCAGGTGAATGGGTGAAGGACAGAGCTCAAGTTCTAAGTCAGTCAGCACAAGTGAGGAAGTCAGGTTTCGTTGCCCCAGGGAAGTGCTCCACGATACCCTTCTTCAACCGAGCAGCTTCTTTTCCTAGATGTGCCCATCTTGACATCCTGGGAACACCAGTACCCCCCAAGGCACCTTTTGCCTCCGAAAATCCAGACTGCCTAGCACTCTGTAATCCAAATTCTTCAGGGACTCCAAAGCATCAGGGCCACCCTCTACCATCTTCCGGTCCAAATACTAGCCCACGAGCCCTTTGGGAGCAGGGCCACATCTGTCCAGATACTGTGTGATCCCTGCACCCAGCACACGCCTGGCCCTGGAAGGTGTTACTCAGTCTTCTCTGAGTGAATGAAGAGTGGGGCTGGCTGGATGAGCCGGGACTGGGTAGGCAGGTCAGGGCCAACTCACTGGGCACGCGGTTGATGGCTTTGAGGGGCCTCAGGACACGCACAGTACGGATGGCTGACAGGTTGATGTTCTGAAGGTCCAGGGAGTACTCGACCATCCTGCAGAAGGAGGAGAAAAGAGTGAGGATTGTCCCAGACAGACAGCCGAGCCAGGCCCAGACCACAGCAGTTACTGGCCACACAGCCCACCCCCACCTGCCTGGGCAAGTAAGGAAAGGGGCCACAATCCCAGCTGTGCCTTAGACAGCATGTGGCCTGGGCCTGCTCCCCTGGTCTCTGCCCCCTCCTCTGCAAATGGGGCTGGTGACAGATGCAGTCAGGAGAAGAGGGAGCAAAGGGAGCAGAGACACTGGGCCCCATTGTGTGCCCAGCATGGGGCCAGGTAACTCCTACCCGTAATGCCTATCCCCTAACCATGTCAGCCCTGGCTTCCAGAGCAGCCTCTGAAATAGGGAGGAACATCTCCCTTATCGGACATGTCCACACCCTCTTCCCCATTCACACTCAACCAGCTCTTTGGAAGCAGTTTGGAAGCAGTTCGCCTCTTCCAGGAAGTCTCCCCAGATCTCCCACAGAAGGCAGATCTGGGGTCCCCTTGGGTTCCCTGAGCTTCCACCAGGTTCTACTTGCTCAGTGCTACCTTCCTCCCTCTCCACTGAAGGATAGGCCCTCGGTGCGGGGATGGGGAATGTGCCAGGGCTGCAGCCCCAGCATGACTCCAGATGCCCCATCACCAGACTCCTCCCCCGCTACCCTGACCCGGGTTCTGGCAGTGCTGCCAGCTCCACCTGCCACCACCATCAGCGAGAAATGAAGGCTTTTCCTACACACCACACAAACCTGTCCAATTGTTGTGAAGCCGCCACCCTCTCCTGCTGCTTGAAGAGTAATTGAGTGAAAGCTCCTTTGCCTGAAATGCCGCCACCAGCCACCCCCAGCCCTCTGGAGCGCAGCCTCCCCTGTGGGCTTTGTCTGTCTCTCACACACACAGAGCCACACACCTGCACACCCATCAGTGCACACACACACTCTCACTCCTTAGACACCCTCATATGTGCCCACTCCTACCCGGATGAGGGGGAGTGACCCAAAAAAGTGACAGACCAAGAACTAGAGACAGAGACCTGGGGGACCTGAGGGGGATGGAAGGAGGGAGGGAGGAGAGGGGGGAAAGGGAGGAGGAGGCTGGGGGTGGCAGCCAGGTAGAGAGGGTGAGGGCAGAGGGTGGCCTGGAAGGGGCAGTGAAGGAGTAGGGCCGCCTGAGGATTCTGCGTGGGTGAGCCAAACTGTCATTTCTGTATTTTGTAGAAAGAGCTCTCCAGGCAGCCTGGAGACGCGTGTGACGGAGGGGCTGCGGGGGCGGCACACACTGGCACACAAACAGGCCTAGGAGAGCCCCCCACCCCCATCACAGGCAGCTAGGCCAGATCTCCCTGCCACATCCCACCCCCAAGAACACAGACCTCCTTCCTCCTGCACTGGTCCTTTGCAACCTGCCAAGGGGGTGGGCACCAGCTCCTGGGGAGAGCTCAGCCCCCGTACATTGTGCTGGGTATGCTAAAGGTGGGGGTTTCCAGTCACCCCAGACTGAACCCACCCATGAGCTGTGTTCCCGGGTCCCTGCCTAGCTCAGACAGCTGCCAGTCCATGAAGTCTCACAACAAAAATAAACAGATGCTTGACGGATGGGTAGACAGAAAAGCAAGGGCTTTCTGAGCACATTCTAATTACTTCCCTGAGCTGACCTGTTGAGCCCCTCACATTCTTATGTGGACCCTCACTCTGCTCCCACCTCGACCTGCTCCAGTCCATACTGAACCAGGGCAGAGCCCAGCTGGCAGCCCACATAGGACTGGCTCACAGTGGGTACATTCAGGACAACCCCCTGCCTGGTCCCTGACCCCTGCCCCTAACCACCATACGGCTCCGTCTTCCCTCCTCAGGGATCCTGTGGGTCCACAGCCTGGGACTGCAGGCTCTCAGTCAAGTGAGGGGCACCAGCCACAGCCTCTGCCCCAGGACAGGCTGGGGGTCAAGAATGCCTGCACAGTTCAGGCTCCTTGGTGACAAATTGTGGTCTCTTGCATTGTGTGTTTAAAACAAGGGACAGTGGGAAGAGCCTGGCCCAGAGGTCCTGAGTGAGACACAAATTGCGACTAGCTGTCACTGAGGCCCATGATTATGCAGTAAGTAAACTTCCGGATCTGAACACCTCCCAGACCCCAGCCTCGTTGTGGGAGGCTGATCAGACTCATGTGCTGTTGGCTGCAGACTCAGGCCACTGCTCTGTCATCCGCTCCCATCTCTGAGGGGAACTGAAGCAGCCACTGCCTGGCAGTGCACTTAAAACCCACACTCAGAGGAGCAGGTGCACCACACCAGCCCAGGCCCCTCACTTCATCCCTGGTCTCAGCATGGGAACCACCTCTGCAGTCTGCTGCAAAAAGTCCCCAAGTTCCCCACGAGAACTCATCAGTTGCAGTCCATGGGCTCTCAAAAGAACTTTCCTGTAGAATTTAGTGAGAAGATTTTAGCGCTGAGATTCCTAGCAACCAAGTCAAAAGGGAAAATGTAATGTGATGGAGTTTTTAACAGCATGAAAGACCTTGACACTACAGACCTTTCCAGGTAGTCCACTTGTCTGAGCATTTCTCCTAGGTCCTAACTCTCACTTCTACATGTTATAACCCTACTAGGGTGAGGCTAGGTGTGGTGGCTCATGCCTTTAATCCTAACACTCTGGGAGGCCGAGGTGGGTGGATTGCGTGAGCTCATGAGTTTGAGACCTGAGCAAGAATGAGACCCTATCTCTAAAAAATATCCCGGTGTGGCTTGGCACCTGTAGCTCAAGCCGCTAAGGCACCAGCCACATACACTGGAGCTGGCAGGTTCAAATCCAGTCCAGGCCTGCCAAACAACAATGACAACTACAACCAAAAAATAGCCAAGTGTTGTGACAGGCGCCTGTAGTCCCAGCTACTTGGGAGGCTGAAGAAAGAGGATCACTTGAGCCCAAGAATTTGAGGTTCCTGTGAGCCATAATGCCAGGGCACTCTACCGAGGGTAACAAAAGACTCATTCTCAAAAATAAATAAATAAATAAATAAATAAACAAACAGACCTACTGGGGGATGAGAGGGTGTTCCACTGTGGCTGCATCTCCTGGCACTAGCGGGGAGGTAAGATAGTATATAAATGCATTCAGTAAATAAAAGCACATAGTAGGTACACAGTGAAGAATCAGTAGCTCATTCCTCTCTGAGGGGAAGAAGATGGCAAGGATGGTGAAAAGAAGACCAGGAAGAGCACTTTGCCGGGAGGCAGGAACCTCGCTGTCCTGACAGTGGCTCTGTGTGCCAACCAGCTCAACCTGGGACAGCCTGCTGACAGCTCCACCCTCCCTGCCCTACCCTGGTCACCATCCCCAACTGACAACTGTGACAGCCTCCCAACCGTCTCCTGCTTCCTCCCCCACAGCCCTTCCTCAGTCAGCAGAAGCCTCCTAAACTCACGTCTAGCTGTGTCACTCCCCACTTAAACCCTCAATGACTCCCACTGCCTGCAGAACAAAGTCCAAGCCCCATGGCCATGGCCTCCAAGGCCCTCCACCATCTGGCCCCTGTCCACTCCTCAATCTCTGTTCATATTGGGTGTCGTGACAGGTTCCCCAAGCACCCCAAATACATCCTCTCCTGCCCCCTTTCCTGGGCACAGTGCCCTTTCTCCTCACTCATCCTCCCTCCAAGACCACCTCCTCCAAGAAGCCCTGCTCACCCCTCCATGCACCATGCAGACCCACCTCTCTCCACTCCAGCTCCTTTCACATTCAGGTCACACCTCCTGTCCCAACCCTGAGCCAAGGACTCGGAAGCAGTCCTTTATCTGGGAAGCGATCCCAGGGAACACAGTGAGGGAGGAGGAGTGAGAAGAGTCCATGACAGGCTGTGATGATCTGGTTACACTGCGGGCAACTGAGGCCCAACCACCCAGGGAGCCCTGAGAGACCTTGTAGAGGAGCCTCAGAATTGGACAGTGGCAGGGTAGACAGGTGCAGGGTAGGGCGTTAGCCACCGACTGCATGAGGGATAAGGGACAGCTCCCTGGGGTGCTGGAGAAAGCCCCGAGGCAGGGGAGGGAGGTGGTATCATGAGAGGGCAGGAGACACTCGCATGGGGCAAGGGGATGTGGGTCAGGTGCCACAGGAGGCTGGGCATGCCACTCTTTCCTCTTCCACCACATACCCAGTGCCCTCCTGGTGTCAGTACGACACCAGGGACTCCATCTGGCATGAACACCACTCCCCAGTATCTGCTGAAGCCCATCTCCCCCTCTTCCTCCCTGGACCATAGCTGTGGTGACCCCTGCCCCCACTCCAAAAAGAGAAAATGAGGAAGGGGGTGGTGAATAACCACAGGGCTGACTCCCCTCAGGCCTCAAATAAGACACCACTTACGAAAGTGAGAAATTAATTCCTAATTACACAGTTACTTTATCACGCAGCTTCAGTGCTAAAAGTCTAAAAAAAAATCAACACAAACCCCCTACTACCTCCTGCCAGCTCCCAAGCGCTTAATTAGGTAAGTAATTTTGCTTTAAAGCAAGCAGTTCCATCCTGAAATTGCCCCAGGAGGAGAGTGGCTGAACTCAGCCCTAGGCTGAGAGGGGCTGAGATGGCCAGGTGGGAGCAGGGGTCCTGCCAGGAGTGGGCTTGGAGGGTGGACCTCTGTTCTCCGGGGCACATCCCACATCCTCCTGCTGAGGAGCTTCCCTCCCTGACTCCTGGCTCAAAGGAGAGGCTCAGACACCCAGGCCTGATCAACCAGGGGATCCCATGTAACCCTGGTCTGATGCCATAGCTGGTTCAGGACAGGCATGTGGCTCACAGCCCATGAGCTGAGACTGCAGTAAAGAGGTGTTGTCCCTGGCTGAACCACCACCTAGAAACCCAGGGTGCTGATAGCCACCTTGTCTGCGTGATGGCCTGAGAATTTTGCCAACACAAAGGAAGGCTGAAGCAAGAGGTGGAGAGAGGCAGGATCCTGACCTTATGTCTGGAGCACCTTCCTCCCTCTGAACCCGATCCCAGATCTGCCCTCTGT